TTTCCCTCCACCCTCAGCTCCTTTCATGACCCGAGGAAACCATGTGCTGCAGGAGATCATGGTGTCACTTTTTATTGGGGGAATAACTAGAGATTAGTCACAACAGCATCTGTCTGTGTGAATTCTTGCAAAATAAAGTGAGTGAATCTCAGAACATTAGATACGTGCATCCTTTACTAAGCAGAGTACCTATGGCAGTTGTGTTAAGAGGAGAGCGTTTTAGAACTGTTTCTAAATTCGGTAGCTAAGTCCCTGGAAAACGCCAGAAGAACAGATGACAAAGCAAAAGAATTGCAGTGACACTGTGCAGTGTCCTGAGGACACAGAAATCTGTCTCCATTTTCCCTTTCACACTGATATCACCGTGAGCTGAACCCCTTCAGGTGGTCGGCAGTGATTAAAGTGTCGAGGCTTCTGGGGTGTTGAGTTGGCCCAGGGGTCCTTGTGAGGTCTTTCCTTATTTTAAAACAATTTATCATCCGTCCGCTAATCACCTGTCTGTGTCGCTCAGGTATGAAGTCTTACAGTTCTGCTGGCTGTCACCAGACAGGAGGCCGGCGGCCGAGGACGTGCACAGACTGCTCACCTACCTGCGGATGCAAAGCCAGAGGGACCCGGAAGTCGACTTTGAGCAGCAGTGGAACGCACTCAAGCCAAACACAAACAGCAGAGATGCTGCAAGTAACGCCGCCTTCCCCATCCTCGACCACTTCGCCAGGGACCGGCTTGGTCGTGAGATGGAGGAGGTCCTCACCGTGACCGAAACCAGCCAGGGCCTGAGCTTCGAGTATGTCTGGGAGGCAGCCAAGCACGACCCCTTCGAGGAGCGCAGCCGGGGCCCCCCAGACGAAGCCGTGTCCTACACCGGCATCTTCTTTGCCACCGAAGCGTTTGAGAGTCCGCTCTCAGATCCCGGGCCCGGGAAGCAAGATGACAGTGGCCAGGACGTCCCCCTGCGGGCCCCCGGAGTAGTGCCCGTCTTTGATGCCCACAACCTTTCTGTCGGAAGCGACTATTACATCCAATTAGAAGAAAAAAGCGGTAGCAACTTGGAGCTGGATTACCCACCTGCACTGCTCACAACGGAAATGGATAATCCAGAAAGGGTCGGTGACACAGCATCCCAGCCTCTGACCCTCAGGAATGTCGAATTTGAGGAGTCCAGTACAGATGAGGATTTCTTCCAGAACACTACAGACCCCAAGGATGCCAGGGTACCCGAGGATGTGCATGTTACCAAGGGCCCCGAGAGCCCTTTCGACAGTATATTTAGTGATCTTGACAAATCAGAGGCTTTGCCCAGTCACCAAAAAATATTTGACTTAATGGAACTAAATGGAGTCCAAGCCGACTTTAAGCCGACCACCTTAAGCTCAAGTTTGGATGACCCCAGAGAGTCAGTAATTACATGCCACTTGAAGAAAGAAAAGCCCCGTAAGCTTTTTGGCTGTGAGCCTCTTTGCTCATCAGAAAACCTCGTGCACCAAGATGGTTTCGATCAGCTGGATGTTGAAGAATTGTCAGAAAACTTTTTATTTCTTCAAGAGAAGAACTTACTGAAAGACTCCTTGTCCGGCAAAGAACATATAAATGATCTTCAAACAGAACTCAGAAATGCTGGTTTTCCTGAAACCATATTAGAAAGTCCGAGTAGAAACTCTCTAGATGCTGAGTTTAAGTTTGCTGAAAATAAACCAGGCTCTTCTTTGCTGCAGGAAAACGTCAGTGTGCAGGGCAGAGGCCCGGGCGTGGTGCCCAAGGACGGCACTTGGGACGTGGCCTCGCCGCCTTGCCCGCAGGCGCAGGTACCTCCTACCTCGCTCGAAACAGAGGGGCCGCCTCACAGTGTCCCTCCAGGCATGTCCCTGAAGCAGGGCGGAGCCAAGCCCATGTGTTTGGATGTCGGTGTCCGTGAAGACGGTATCTGCCGAGAGGTAAACCCAGACTCCACACCCGCCCCACTGCACACACCTCCCACCGGCGACAGGTCCCAAGACCTGACTCCCCAGAGGGAGGGGGCCTTGAGACTGACCCAGAGCGACTCAGGCCTTGTCCACAGCACTTTGGCCAGTAAGGTGAGCATAGGGAACAGCCTTCCAGAACTGAGGCAGAACTTACAAAGTCAACCACCTTTGGAAGACCACTGCCGTCAAGGCCTGCCCGAGAGAGCCTTGGAGGCCGTGGATGCTCTGAGTCAGCTGGGCTGTAAAGATGCTGCTACAGAGGAGCGGGGCTTGGTGTCTGCCCTCTCCTTGGACTCTGCCAGTCAGGACAGCCTTCTAGAGGACAGCTTGTCGACGCCCATCCCGACTTCGGAGCAGTCCGTGGAGGCCCCAGGCTCCCTGGACTCGGTGGATGTCCGTGAGGTTTTACTGGATTCCTTAGGCCCTCACACGCCACAGAGACTCTTGCCCCCCGATAAGCCTGCGGACAGTGGCTACGAGACGGAGAACCTGGAGTCCCCCGAGTGGACGCTGCACCCGGCCCCCGACGGTGCCATAGCCCCCGACACAGGCTCGGCGGGCGACGGCGTTCGCGGGGGGCCACCTCCCAACCCCGTCATCGTCGTCTCAGACGCAGCCGATGGCCACAGGGGTGCAGAGGTCACCTCTCAGACTTCTGCCCCTGGCTGCCAGGGCTCGTACCGAGACTCCGCTTACTTCTCAGACAATGACTCTGAGCCCGATAAGAAGTCGGAGGGCGTCCCGGGAGCCTCAGCATCGGCCTTGGGAGCGGACCAGCCCCTGCCTGAGCCAGGCGCCCCAGAGCAGAGTCCCAGCCCCCCGGACGGCTGCCTGGAAACCAGCAGCAGCCAGCCTGGCCAAAGGTGTCCCCTTGCTCAGCAGAACGCCAGTCACCTGGAATCAAGAGAAGTGGCAGAACCAGCACCCGCTGGCGCTTCCAGACAGTTGCATCCCCCCGACGATGGTGAGGCTGGCAGCCCCTCAAGTCTGCTGAACTCGGAGCTCAGCAGCGGGGATGACCTCGAGGCCCAGGAGGAGCCCCCCTGCACGCTGGCTTCCACTGGAACCAACACCAACGAACTCCTGGCGTTTGCAGATGCCCCCCTCCGCTCTGGCGGCCCAGCAGCCCCGATGGTGGAGAAGGCCTTGCGTGGCCACTCCGAGGGCCCCAAGCTGAAGGAGCCAGACGTCGAAGGGAAGTACCTGGGGAAACTCGGTGTGCCAGGGGTGCTCGACCTCACCGAGGACGGAATCGACGCGGACGAGGAGGACGAGAACAGCGACGACTCGGACGAGGACCTGCGGGCCTTCACCCTGCACAGCCTCAGCTCCGAGTCGGAGGACGAGGTGGAGCACATAGTGCCTGTGGTCCTCAGCCGTGAGGACGGCCGCCACCTGCGGAGCCTGCTGAAGCCCTCAGCCTCCGCGGACCAGCCGCCCGACGACTGGAAGAAAGAGAAGAAGGCGGTGACGTTTTTCGATGACGTCACAGTCTATCTCTTTGACCAGGTATCTGTTGTCTGTCACCTCCAGGTTGTCCTGCTAGAGAATTCCAGAACGTGTTAAGGGAACGAGCGTGCTTGGTTTTTCTGATTGCCGTTTCGAGGCCACGGATTGTTTTGTGATAACTCAGGAAAAGGAATTTGGGGTTGGCTACAGTGTCAGCTCCAAGAACACGCAGAAATGGGGTTTGCACAGGGAACTCCTGTTACATTACAGGAGAAGACCTGCATGCGCCTCCTGGGTGTCCTGGCGGAGTCCTGCTGA